TTGATGTATGTAGGTTATAGATCATCACCTATTAATTTGATGTATGTACCTTGTGTTCTTAGAATCTCCAGGATTTTTATAGTTAAGGGTTTAGATTTGTACCAGAAGCAGCAAGCTTCTGATAGGTCTTATTTCCTTGTCCTGCAACAAGGCTAAAATAAAACTTACATTGATAGGATGATGCTCCATCCAAGGAACTATTGATAGGTTACTAACATGCAAAAGTATTATAATTTAACCCATTGTACTAAAGTATTCAATCTCTTATAATCAATTTAAAAATATGCCCGAATTTTTTTGTTTGTCTTAATCATACTTAATTTTACATTAAACTTGTTTTGCTTTATTTGCATTAAGCTTAATTTTGAAAACAAATGCAGAATACTGTATGATGGGAGATAACAGACAGCTATATATGAGATAAAATTTGGTCTATCCTTCAAAGGTGTTTTTTGTGTAAACTTTAGTTTTACTTAGCATAACTGACCACTAACTTGTATATCTTAATTATCTACAATTAGTAATAATTACTTTATAAAATTGTAGTTTTAAAGTTTTATTACTTTTATGTTTGAGCTTTAAAAATATAATTCTTGAGTTAAAGGTCTTTAGTATCAAAATAATATTTAAAACTGTAAATATAGTTTAGACAGAATGGCCTTTTTAGTGTTCTTTTACAAATTTCCAGGTTTTTATATGACTGAGTTTCTCTAAATAGCTAAAGCTTAACCAAGATAGTAAAATTATTACAGTTTTTATATGATTACATGTCACCAAATAGCTAGATCTTAACAAAGAGAGAAAAAGTATCATAATTCTTAAAACACAGTTTTACCAAATGGCTAAACTTTATTAAAGTTAGCAAAAACATAACAGATTTTTTGTATGATCCAATTGTTAAAAGCCTGGTGTTTCTTCCGTACTCTAAAATAACCAATACAATCATCACTAGAGGGATACTACATGATCACCTTGACCAAAGTGGCACTAAAGTCACATAGTATACTTCTATCCAAGAAGACAGCAAGCCCTATAGCTGGTGTGTCATCAACAAAGAGTGCAACAAGTCATGTGATCCTTCGAGGTGAGCCCATTAGGCACAATCCCTTTTCATAAACAAGCGTTGAATACAAGTTATCAAACACATCATTCAGTAGCAAAGTAAGTTTATCTACACAGAGCTTTTAAGCTATTAACCCTTTATTGTTACAGATTTTAAGCTGATGTTTTCTTCTTGGAATTTTACAGCTTTTTAAAATATTACTTAAAGATTTGAGATTAAAATAATTATTAGGCAAAGTAGAGTGGAGAGTATTCAGAGAATTGAACCTATGTGATGACACTTAGTCATTTTTAAAGATAGTAAACAAAACAAAACAAAACAAAAGTTGTGTGGTAATTAAAGAATTTAACAAACTTAAGAAAAGAACATGATGAAATACACAACAGTAATACCATTTTGGGGCATAGCTTACATTTTAGCTGTTTTTAAGCATGTAGTGTTTTTTCCTAGGCTGCTTAATGGTTTGTTCTTCCCAGTCACAGAGTCAGGTAGCCATCCTGACCCAGGACAGAGACATTGGAGGAAATTTTTAAACAAACATTCTTGTTTGAGTACTCTTGTCAAATTACAACTTCAGTAGAATATCATTAAACAATATTTCAATATTATACATATACAAATGACATTGTCTGTGACATTGAACCCAGTAATGTATATATCGATAATCAGTTGCGTGTGTCTACAGATGGGACCAGACAATCTGTAATGTATTTACGTCTTAGCTGTTAAAGATGTAATGAGGATTTTCCGAGTTTGGAGAGGCAGAAACAAAATTAGGCATAAGAGGCATAAGGCAAAGGAGCCATAGGTCTAAAGAGGTCTATGCTCACTGTGTGGCCACCTAGATGAGCCTGACACAACTGAGTTCTATGTTCACTGTGTGGCCATCTAGATGAGCCAGACACAACTGAGTTCTATGTTCACTGTGTGGCCACCTAGATGAGCCAGACACAACTGAGTTCTATGTTCATTGTGTGGCCACCTAGATGAGCCTAACACAACTGAGTTCTATGTTCACTGTGTGGCCACCTAGATGAGCCTGACACAACTGAGTTCTATGTTCACTGTGTGGCCACCTGGACAAGCCTGTCACAAATGCAATTTGGGCCCATATCCAGATCTTTGAGTCAGTTGGTTTCAACAACTCCATCTAAAAAGCGTCAGTTATGGGTATCCAGGAGCATGTCATTGCCATCAAAGAAGAAAACCTGAAGCATGGATGTAATTGAAGTAGTCTTAGTGATGGTCCTTTATGGTGCTTCAGAGATGAGCTGGACCAGTGGCTTGTAGGAATGAGTATCTTCATGTAGAACTGCGTGGGCAACAAAAAATCCCATACTTCGTGATATACTGCAGTTTCTAACTCCAAGACATTGAATGAATTTGTAATTGAGGGGTCAGAAGAATAGAGGAACAGAGTGGAGCACACATTCTGAAGAAAAGCCGAACCATGCCCATGGTCTGAGCTACTGCTGGAGCCTATGTTGATTTGCATGGCCTGTACTGACTCCTGAGGCCATGTTAATGTCTGTGGCTGGTGATGGCTTAGAGGGCCATGTCTTGTTCTGCTGTAGTATTCATGGCCCATGTCACTACTGTGAAGGTACCACTGAATATAAATCTCTCTGTTTCATGCTGCTGGAGAGGCCATGTTAGAATTCATGTTTCTGCTATTGTTGAAGACCAAATAGGGTCTTTACTGCTACCTCCAATATTATTGATGTGTGTGGGCCATGCTGTTCCCTGGAGACCATATGGATATTCCTGATACGTGTTGCCTTTGAAGACTCTATGTCGGGGTCCATGGTCCTTTTGCAGTTGGGAACCAAGTTGATGTCCATGGTCCATGTTACAACAGAAAGCTATAAGGATGGTCTATGCTATCCACAGAATTCATAATGATGCCCTCTGAGCATCTAAGAGGATGCCTCTAGGGACTGTGTTGCTGTTCCTGGCCTATACTGCTATGAGAGATTATGCTGAGGTCTACAGCACATGTGAATACTGTAAACCAAGTGGATGTACGTGGCCCATGCTGTTACCAGATAACATGTAGAAGACAATGGAGATTGTAGAAGGAAGCATCTTCTTTAGTGGTATCAATGACAGCAGACCGACACTGAGAGAAACATAAAAAGCTGTGACAACCCCTACATCCGTTCCCCTACCCCTGAAAAAGGAACAAGCTAAATAGGGAGCCGTTAAAGAGAACTCTTAAAAATTGTGATAAGGATATTGAAGTATAGCTCTCCCCAATAGATGGCTCCTGACAGGAGTAGCAGTGTGGAAGGAATCAACTTTCTTTAACAGGTTGCCTACCTGGAGTTTTACCATGCTCCATTGACTGTACAGACAGCATAAATTTGGCTTGATTTTGTTTGTTGGTTGTTTGTTTTTTTAATATTTTTGGTGGGAAGGTGAGGTAAGACACAAGGCTGAGGAGAGCAGATCTCGGAGGACTGGGAAGTAAGTGTGATCAGGATGCATTATGTGAAATTTCCAAATAATCAATAAAATATTATGTTACAATAATTCTATGCATATGATGTTCACTGTAGCTGTTTTCAGACACACCAAAAGACTACATTGGATCCCTGGGACTCATGGCTCCAGCCGCATATGTAGCAGAGGATGGCCTTGTTGGGCATCAATGGGAGGAGAGGCCCTTGGTACTGTGAAAGCTCGATACCTTAATGTAGGGGGATGCCAGGGCAGGGAGGCAGGTGTAGGTGGGGAACACCCTCATAGAAGCAGGGGGGAGGGGTAGTATAGGGGGTTATGGGGTGGGGAGGACCAGGAAAGAAGATAACATTTGAAATGTAAACTAAAAAATATCCAATAAAAAATAATTCTATGCTACTTTAGTCAGGAATAATTGTAAAGATACAAGTTTGGAGGCCCAGCAGAATCAAGAGACAGTCTGGCTCTGGGAATGGTTCTAAGTCAAAGCCTCGATTAAGATTAAAGTGAACTATGAGATTTACTGGGGAGAAAGCCTCAGAGGATAGTGCTAGTCCATCTTATGGAGTTATATGAACCTGGTGAGATTTTTAAAAATTGAAAGGGACAAATTTGGGCCAGCCATGCCCATTTGAATCATGGAGTTGCAGTGAATTTCAGACCGAAGACTGCCAGGCCAGTAAAAGATTCTCATAGTTTTTGGCTAAAGCTTTTGGAATGTTTGACCAGTTGTTTAGGGCATCATCTAAGCCTTTAAATGACCAAACAAATCAGTTAATAAAGGGAATCTACAACTTTGTGGGACAATTCTAGGGCTAAAGAACTGCAGGGCTCATGGAAGGTTCTCAGAGATTTCAGGTAAATGAGTGGTATCTTATCCAGTGAAAGTCTCCAATGATTTCAACTGAGCAGACTTTGCAGAATAAAGCTCCAGTGAGCTCCCAGATCTAACTAGAGTGCCCCTATGAGGCCCAGATTAAGGTAGCTCAGCATTTAACTGTTGCATAACTATGAATGCAGCCTGGCTTCCAACCTAGATCAGACTGTCAGGCCAAGAGAGTAAGCTGACAGAAAAGGTCAGAGACAGAATGTACAAATGAAAGGTTTTCTGAGAGATATTGGTGGCCCTGCAAGGCCACTGTTCCTATCTGCTAGGCTAGCTTGATGCTTTCTGAGTTTCAGCACCATAGGATAGATGAATTAAAAGGTAGCTGTAGAGAGATGGAAGGTGGAAAGAAAGGGAAATTCAGTAAAACTTTTGGAGAAACCATGTTTCTTCACAGTGAGGAAGCATTTTTTTCCACCCAAGTACGTGAATGCCTACAGAGAAAGGTGAAATACAATCCCTTATGAAAGCAGAAACAACTCTTCTAGTCTACAAGGCAAACTGGGAAGTGTAGTCTTTCCAGAGGAAACCATCAGGTATCCTGCTCAATCTTAATGTGATTAAACACCAATGTTGTTTCTCTGTCTTTAGCCTGCAGTGACCTGGAATTCAGAGAAGTAGCAAACAGACTGCGAGACTGGTTCAAGGCCCTGCATGAGAGTGGGACCCAGAACAAGAAGACAAAAGCACTTCTGAGGCCCGAGAGAAGCAGTAAGATTTTAAAATTGAATAAAGCTATTGTCTGGAAGATGGTGACCTAGATCCAGTGAACCTCTCAGTGTAAACACACTTGTCAACATTTATCTTTTACCTTGTGAGTTTAAGTCTCCATGGGCTAATTAGCAGGAAGCTGTTTTAAATTGAAGAAAGGAAGAAGGAATAAAAGAAAGGAATTAGCATGCAATCTATATAGGAGGCTGTAATTAATACATAAGGGTTTTGTATTACATACTACATAGAGATCTTAAGGAGACTCACCTGGATGTTAATGACAAGTTTAATTTGATCCTGTGTGAAGTGGATACGTAACTTCCTTCAAAGTCAGTTTCACATAGTGTTTGACTAGCATAGGGTTTAGCATCTGCATCAGTTGTTAATCCCACCCATTGAATGGAAGACTAATATCCCAATTTTTGAGTCAAATTACAGTAAGCTATAATTAATATCTACCAGGATGATGACCTCTGGCCTGGCCCATTCTGTGGTTTCTAGAAAATGGTGATGAGTCAAATGAATCACATTTTATAGAGGCTTATAAAGGTACACCTGTCAAGGATAAGCATATGTCTTGACATATTTCTAGCTTATGTACCCTCCAATACATGTGATAAAGCACAGCCAGTTCAGATGAGCCAAACAAACTTGTTTAGGGAAGTGAAAACATGCCTCCAGCATTTCAGGAGATATCTGTCCATGAGCAAAGGGCTTTGAGCTTTGAGCCATTTTTTATCTTATGGATCTCTTAAGATACATTAATTAAAGCTTAAAACATAACTTTGGCTCGCACCTAGGAAAACAATAAAACCAACCAAACAAAAAGATATTAAAATTGCCAGTAGAAAAGAGGAGTACTATGAACAATTTTATGTTTCATTTATATGAAATTAATTTTTTCCGTTTATATAGTATTTCTTTTCATTTTTATTTTTTTATAGTCCAGTCATTGTTCCACTCCTGGTCTGCCCTCCCACAGTTCCTCGTCCCATTCTTCCCCCAACACTGTCTCCAAAAGGATGTCCTGTCCCCCTTATTTTTATCTAGTGAATTTAAAAATGATTTTGAGGTATGGCTGAATATTTCAGAGATCTGAAAACTTATTTTTTTCTAAGAGGAAGGGAACAAATGGAAGAGCTAACCATGTGAGTTCTGTAGCTCAGGTGGCACAGGAGGCATGCGAGCGTCATTGATTATCCTGGAAGGCATGCGAGTCTCATTGTTTATCCTAATGATGATGAGTATCTGTTCCACTTAGCACCGTCAATATGCAGTTTCTGTCAAGATGACAGCAACATCACACAGTTGCCTGCAATACTCATATTTTTTGAAGTATCTTTCTTACTTTCCTTTAAATCTTTTCTCTCATAGTCTCAGACTTTTGTATTTATGAATCTTACTTTCTAAGATGATTTACTACACATGAAACTTTAAAGTCTCCCATAGAGATAGGTTTTTCACTGTGCAAACATGTATATATTTCTTCTTGTGAATTTCAGAAAAAAAATTACAGTATTTACCAACACAATCAGAGAGTTTCTGGTATGTGTCCTTGAGTGTAGATTACAATTTGGGTCAGTTTATGTGGTTTTCTATCTTTCAATGTAAATTTATTTTGTAGTAATAACAACTAAGTACATCTATTCCCTATCCTGAATACAATGCTTGATTTATGGATATTCCTTCCACACCATTGCATATTGATATTTTTCAAAAAGTTACACTATAGGAAATTTAAAACACAAAGAGTTTGGTTTGATTTATATATTTAATATGACAGTAAGCAGCATTCAGGTATTGTAGCCCTTTTAATAATTAATGATGACATTAACAAAATCTGGAAAAATATTCTGCAACATTCTATGGCTTTTAGGTATTTTATGCAGAAAACAAAAAAATCTTAACTTACAATATCTTTTTGATCAGGAGAAAAAAATCTCAAGGATACTTTGTTATTTTAACAGAGAAAAAATTTTAATTTAAGTGTTCTAGCAAGATAACATTTTATTCTGTTTTTAAAAATACATTGTATATGAATTCTTAAAGATTAAGCATCATTGACAAACAAGACGTTTTTATCAATCTTTTCTAACACTTTCTATATTTTAATTTTTCATAGTATATTTTTGAGTAATATAGGATTTTATTTCAAGAAAAATTATTTCTTTAGAAAAATAATGTCTATTTAACTCATATACAATTAATTTTCTAGAAGAGTCATACTTAAATAAAGTTTAATTTCAGTATATTTTTATTTTATATACAAACATATGAGGTGGATGATTATAAAGTATTAGGCATCAGCAACTTTAGTAGATTTTTATGAATATACATTTTATACTTTTTATAGCCATATGCTTCATTGTAGTATATAGTCTCTTTAATGTGAAAAAATAAACATATTTATTCACAGAGCCAAGTATGCACATTTCTCTAGGCCATAAAAAGAGGTAAGATACGTACATTCAAATACATGCTTTTGTATTTTGTCATTTAAGAAATAGCTGATAGTTGGCTAGCTATTATAAGAATATGATTTAAACTTAATAAGCATCTTAGGAATTATTTGATGTTAGCTTAATAAGTCTAGCTAGCGTTGGAATAAATTTTGTCACTTATTTTGATAACAATTATAATATTGTAAACATCTAGTAAATTTAGTTTTTATTTACTTGATCAGTATTTTTAAATATTCTTTTTTTAAAAAATCTCAAATTAGTTACAACATATACTTAGCAATATAAGCTGATCATTCTAGACCTATAACATTTTAATTAACTAATATTAAACTAGTCTCTACTGCAAACTCTGATTTAAATTATAGAAACTGAATTTCAAAACCTTTTGAGTTATGATTCATATGAAAACTTCAAAGCAAATTTTTATTTTGATCTTTTTAAATTGAAAGATGTAATTTATATAATATGTACTTCACAGGATATAATTTATATTTGTAATTATTTGCAATAAATATTTCTCTAAGAGAACCTGGCTGTGTTTGTTAGAAACAGGACACTTTCTGTATCAAGCCAGCTTTATGCCTAATATAGAAGTATAACATAAAGCAAGATGTAGAAAAGGAAGATAATGTTTACCCTTAGGTTGTGTTAACACTGTTGGCTTATATTGATTCTCATGAAATTTCTTTTGGTATTGCAGTTTGGTGAAGTAGATATTATTATAAAGGAAATAAAATAACAAATTGCTTAAATTCATCCTGTTCTTTCCAAAAGAAGTTTCTATTCATTTCTCTTAGGTGAAACTTTCAATATATAGATTTTCTTGTTAATATTAAGTATCTTAACATAAATTGTGGTGCAACTATGAAAGAAAAAGCTGAAGTGTATGGTTTACTGACTAAACAAAGACAAAGAAGAATAAATAAAGATGGTATTTTTTGTATTATTTATGATTTTCCTTTCAGACTTGTCTTTGTCTCAGCTAGACACTGTTCAAGTTACATTCTGTCAAAGCATATGGTACATACTGCCCATGTAATGAAATTTTAAATGGTTAGAATTTTAAAATGATGTACTATGCTTTTCAATGGGGGCAGTGTCAAGCTGAAGAACAAGCAGGGTATAGCATGATTATGACCAGAGCTCTTACATCCATGAAGAAAGAGAACCAACACATTGAAAATGTACCATCTGATTTGGAAAAGAGCATGAGCAAGTTTAAAGTTGAAAGAAGATGAGTGCATAGAAATCAGTTGTACCTGCTGATAAGATCAGTATCACTGAAACTAGACCTGTTGTTTCTCTCTGGTTCCCTGAAAAATATATCCTAGGGGAAAAAAACCATCAAGGGCTCCAACTGGTGAAAATGCAGACTCATTTTAAAGACCAGAGCCAGAGTTGAGAATGTTGCTCAACAACTTTTCTTCTTGAAAGTGACCGATACAGGGAAATAATTTTAGAGGACCAGTTTCCAAGTTGCAATGACTATGGAATCAGACTACACATTGAACTGTTAGCAGAACTTGGATACATTATCTATGTGATGCTGATTGTTGGATATATATATACAGATTTATGTGGTGCTGTAGCCCTGTACTGATGTTCCAGAGAACTGAAGCCAGAAGTTGAGTTACAAGGTCCAAGAGTGACCATTCTATGGAGGTAATAACTATGCTTAGTTGATGACAACAAGATGTTGAAATTCCCAGGGTTCAGGAAAATAGTTGGATTGGTGAAGGATCAAGACCAGAGAGAGACTATGGAAGAGAGAGACTATTAAGAGAGATCAGGCAAGCCCAATGAGAAGCCATCACAATTCTCAGATGCAGGTGTGAGGGTGTAGGCTTTAGAATTTTTCCTACTGGATTTTAGTCTTGCTTTCATACTTTTTTTTGCTATCTTTTTGATATTCATTTTTGAATGATAATGATGTTGTATGTTAGATGTAGATGCATGTAACCATATGTTAAGTCATAGTTAAGAGTTGGCTTTGAGTCAAGGGATTAAATTCTGACTATGAACTTTTAAACAGTCTTGAAAGTTGTAATAGATGTTTGAATAGACCCAACACATTTTTACATTAGGGACATTTTGGTTAAAAAGGGAGAAATTGTAACATTCAAAGGTGATCTGTTTGGCTGTGAAGGTAACCAGGGTTGAACTTGTAGTTAATCTTTATTATAAATTAGGCTGCATTTAAAACTACCTGTGAGATACACTTCTGTGGAGGCTTTTCCAGAGATACTTAACTAAGGAAAAAATGTTCTATCCTGGATGTGGATATCCCATTGACTAAAACTCTGAACAGAATTTAAAAGGAAAGATAAGGGAGCTTATTTTAGCACATAACTTTAATTTCTCTTGCTGGAATATAGACATGTCCTAGGTACATACCTTTAATACCAAACAATGAAGGTAAAATTAGTTTGTAGAAGAAATTGCTCACATTTGAAAGCAATATCTAATTGAGTGGCAGCAACATGATGAATGAGGAGTGAGACAGAGATTTGACAGAGTAGCATATGCCCAACTCTCATG